CTAAAAGCGCTGCAAATGCGACGCGCGGGCGAGTGGGCACGTGGTCCTTTTTTTATATTTCGTGAGCGTTTTCTTAGGCTAATAAACTTAAGCAAGCAAACCGTAACATGTAGAAAACACCTAAATTCAATGCTTCTCATACACTCTACAATTTTCCAATTCACACTTCGGCCCTGAAGGAATAATTAAAAAGTTAGGTAATTAATCTTAATTAAATAAATAACTAAACGTACTAAAAGTATGTGCACTTTCGTTCTTAAGTTTAGTGCAAATTACTAAAAAGAAAAAAAAAAAACCTCGGACAGAAACAACTTCTTTTTTTTTTTCGTTTGTCACTACACGGTATTGTCGTGTCGAATAGAAAGGGAAACAGGCGAATGGCTGCCCGAGTGCTTATTGTCAATGCCAGCAGAGCTCATCATATGAGAGAGTTTGGCCCATGGACAGAATCTGTGGCCCTCTTAGAAAAGGCCGGCTTCAGGATAACGCATCAGAGCATATTGCCGAGAGATGCCCATGGTTTGTTATACGCCCGAAACGAAAGATGGCGGATGGACGGATGGATGGAAGCTACCGGCTGTACCCTTTCTAACGGGCGGTAGCTTGCGCCGGCTAGCCTAGAAATTAAAAACCAAAAGTACGATTCCTCCCTTCGCCCTTTGGAGGGAACATACAATTTCAAGGTTGCCAGAATCCGAACCGTGGTTTCTGAACTGTAAGCATCTCCGAAGGATCTCAGAATTATTCCAAAAAATATACGGTTGTCGATGCCGATACCTCAAAACAACGCCTTCGCTAAAAAAAAAAAAAAAAAAAAAAAAAGGGGAGACGGCAGTTGGCTTTACGGGGTCCTGGAACGACTATTTCACTGGTGGGGTGAGCGTCCTATCCCGCCCATACATCAAGAATGGTCTCCAAGCGACAACCAATGACGTCACAGAAGCCGTCGTGTCATGTTGTCGGATGTCGCGATCCTGGCGGTTGATGCTATAGAAGTCCCGGAAAGAAAGCGAACGCGAGTGTCGCTGTCGTCGCATGTACATTCACACCCCTTGCCGCTGAAGCTTCCGTGAGCAGTCAAGCTGGAGAGCAACCTGCGGCAGAAGAGCCGTCTGCCACATCCATCCCCGCTGCCGTGAATCCGCCCGGATCGTGAACGACATCATCGGGCAGAAATCAAAGTTCCGGTTTTTTTAGCACAGTGATAAACGCACATGTCGGAGACGCGTTCCAGGCGCCACGGTTGGCTCCCTCGTTTTCCACACAACGCGTTTCCCCTTTGAGCTCATGCGCTGACATGCGCTTTTCCTTTGTTTCTGCTCGAGGCAGATCAGCAAAGACGCTGTCGTTGCTCATCTGCCCCCTTCGCTCGCGTGCTCACTCTCATATTTCAGACGACTGTCCGAACAAGCAAGACGAATAATCTGGCACGTTCTACTTCCTGCTCTGCACGACCACACTTCTGTTTTCTGCTTTTTAATATTTTTATTTTATTCTATTTGTTTTGTCCTCGAGAAAGGTGAGATCATCTTATTCTGCCTTGTGTTCACATCCACGGATAGCTCCTAATCGCAGTCTTGTTTTTAATTGCAGCAATATGGCGCGCGAGGCGCCTGCTATTATGGGCGCTGCGTCGTTGACAATTATTATGACTCCTACAAACGGAACTGGCGAGAAAAGAGGGACCTTCTCGCAAGAAGCAATTCAGGTATTCTTTAGGCTTTATTAGTTCCTGTATGGGAATGTTCCACGTGTTTTGTTTGTTTGCTTTGTGCTGCTCCCCGCACCCCTTTCCTCTTCTCCTTCTAAGTAATGCCCTAAATATCATGCTCCTAAATGAATAACTAATGAACGAACAGAAATAAACCTCGTCTCCCGTACTATAATAAAGCAACCGATACATATTTAAACTGTGGTTCAAGACACCAATAGCCTACACGAAAAAATATTACATCATAAGTATGTTTCGTATTTCGTAATCGTTATAAAACGCGCGGCGCGACACAACTAAAAATATCACGCACAACTCTCGCATAACTCTCGAAACTTCTGGCACGCTATGTCTGTAAATTTCACTCTCGCGCAACTCGCGAAACAATAGGGTATTCACCTAAGTTAACGCGGTATCATTAAAGATACCCTAAAATACTCAAAACAATTTTCTTGCCTTGCCTTTTTTTATATATATATTTTCACGGTCCAAAGAGCAAGCGAGTCAGTCTGCGTCCCTTCGCTGACGCCTGCTGTTTGCTACCATATTGCTTGACGCCGCAAGTCTGCCTTACTAAACATCAGTCTCCAATTATGCGCCACTCCGTTTGTTTACTTCAGATTCCTCACAACATCAACGCACTATCTTCCCCTCCTAATCTGCTGCCCCTGCTGCTTCAAGTTGTTGCGCACTGAGCGGTTCGAAACAATGCACTGAAACATTGGGGGGAAAAGTCTAATCGTATTTTCTGCTTTTGCTTTTCTTTTTATTTTTTTTTTTTTTTACCGTGAAAGACGTTTGTTACTTTGTTCTATGCACAGCTTCACATTACGATGAACCGCAACGGACGCTTCAAGCCACCCCAGCCAATCAGCATTCTGAACGTATCACCGACTACATTCCACCCCTCCCGAATGTCATTGACACTTAGACGCCACTAGAATGGCTTCGATGACTCGTGACGTCTTCGGTCCATCGTCAGGTGAAACAAAACATAAGAAAGTTTTAGTAGATCGTTCCGATGATTTCGATAACGATAGCCGGTACTCCGCGGTGGCCTTTGAGCATGCATCGCATCGTTATGGGGCATCGTTCTCCGGGCATCGGAGGTATCGAAACCATATACTCAAACTAGAGACTTTTACTAGATCGTTCCGGTACCTCTGATATTCCCGATAACGATAGGATGCATATGCGAAAAGGTGGCGAAGGAGTATCGGCATGGAAACCCGAGTCATAGGAACGATCTATTAAAACTCTATGTAGTTATGTTGCCAGTCTGCCCCGTCAACCTCTTTTTTTTTTCCTTTTTTTTTTGCGGGGGGGGGGGGGGGGGAGAAGGGGGAGAGAGAAGGCCGAGAGAGGTAGCTTTTTTTCGAGGCCATAGTTTTTTAATGCGGATAGTTGACCTCATAAACAAAAAATTGGGTAAAAACGAGCTTTCTGTCATTTTTATTATTATTTTTATGCGTGAGAACGGCGGGTCTCAATTTTTTTATATATGTAAGTGTACATTTCTAGTTATTTATATTTTGGTCTTCTTCTGCAGGGCCGCATGTGGGTGACTCTGCGCCCAAATACTATCAGGCTCCTGGTGGGCAACGAAAGAAACGAGCGGCATGTAGCCGACAATGCAGAAACGGAAGCTTCGGAAACATGCGGAGCCTTGGACGAAGTATTTTCCGAAGGCATGGACGCAGAAGCTATGGCGGAAATTTCCTCCGAAGATCCATAGGAGGCGGACGGTTCTTAGGCAGATTTGGGAATCGGGGATTTGGTGGCCGCAACTATGGCAGATTCCTAGGGGGATTCGGCCGCCACTATGGTGGAGGTGCTTATAGGAGGATGTTTAACAGAATGAGGGGAAGCTATAGGGGAAACTTCAGAAGACTCGGCAATTTTTATGGTAGAGCAGGAGGCCTTCGACAAGCTTTTGGAGGAATTCAAAGAGGTTATGGCAGGCACGGCTTTGGGGGACGGCTAGGAAACTTTGGCAGACGTTTTGGAAAGGGAGGCTACGGAACACTGTTTAATCGCTTCCGGAGGGGCTATGGCGGCTACAAAGGAGGCTATGGTGGCTATGGCTCCAGAGGAGGCTATGGTGGCTATGGCTACAGAGGAGGCTTAAGAAGATTCGGCAGCCGGTATGAAAGAAGGGGCTTTGGACAACTTTTCGGGGGAATGCGAGGAGGTTATCGGGGTTACGGTTTTTCCCGAGGCCTGGAAGGCTTCGGCAGGCGTTCGGGGAGAGGCGGCTACGGAAGACTGTTTAATCGCTTCCAGATTGGCTATGGCGGCTACAGAGGAGGCTGGGGTGGCCATGGTTACAGAGGAGGCTTAAGAAGATTCGGCAGCCGGCATGGAAGAAGGGGCTTTGGACAACCTTTCGGGGGAATGCGAGGAGGTTATGGGGGTTACGGTTTTTCCCGAGGCCTGGAAGGCTTCCACAGGCGTTCGGGGAGAGGCGGCTACGGAAGTCTGTTTAATCGCTTCCAGATTGACTATGGCGGCTACAGAGGAGGCTGGGGTGGCCATGGTTACAGAGGAGGCTTAAGAAGATTCGGCAGCCGGCATGGAAGAAGGGGCTTTGGACAACTTTTCGGAGGAATGCGAGGAGGTTATGGGGGTTACGGTTTTTCCCGAGGCCTGGAAGGCTTCGACAGGCGTTCGGGGAGAGGCGGCTACGGAAGACTGTTTAATCGCTTCCAGATTGGCTATGGCGGCTACAGAGGAGGCTGGGGTGGCCATGGTAACAGAGGAGGCTTAAGAAGATTCGGCAGCCGGCATGGAAGAAGGGGCTTTGGACAACTTTTCGGAGGAATTCGAGGAGGTTATGGGGGTTACGGTTTTTCCCGAGGCCTGGAAGGCTTCGGCAGGCGTTTGGGGAGAGGCGGCTACAGAAGACTGTTTAATCGCTTCCGGGGAGGCTATGGCGGCTACGGAGGAGGCCTACGGAGGTTCGGAAATATCTATGGAAGAGGAGGGTTTGAAAAACTATTCAGGAGATTGCCAAGTGGTTATAAAGGTTACGTCTTTGGCCAAGGCCTTGGAGGCTTTAGCAGACGCATGGGGAGAGGAGGCTACGAAAGACTTTTCAATCGCTTCCGGGGAGGCTACGGCAACTATGGCTACGGAGAGCGCCTCGGATCGTTCGGAAGGAGCGGCTTTAGACAATTTTTAGGAGGAGGTTATGGCGGGCGCGGTTATGGAGGAGACCTAAGCAGATTTGGAAGGCGTTACGGAAGCAGCTACCATAGGGGATTCCTTCGTAGGTTGACAGGAAGGCGCCATGGCGGAGCTGACTTTGGAGGACGTTATCCAGGATTCGGTAGAGGCTATTTCAGCCGAGGTTGGAGGGGTGACCGGTACCCCGATAGGGGAAGGTACGGTGGATCATTATATAGAAGAGGAATCGGAAGAGGTGGGCGCTGGCGGATAGGAAGACGTTGGGGGGGTCGCTACGGCAGAGGGTATGGACAATACGGCCAGAGGTATGGCGGTGGAAGCTGGGGAAGCGGCTACGGTGGAAGCGGGAGCGACGAAACGGCAGCCTACGGAGGAGTGAGCGGTGGAGTGGGGGGAAGACGCAGTTCGGGATCTAGTTATGGGACATCAGGTGGATATGGCGGCAATTGGGGCGGTACTTCCGTGTGTAGTAGTGGGACAAATTGCGGCGGATGGTCAACCGGCTGGGGAGCAGGTTCTAGAGGGCACGGTTATTCAGGATTAGGGTATGGAGGGAAAAGTTACAGTGGAGGCACTTATGGTTTAGGAGGATATAGTGGCGGGGACTACGGCACTGGGATGATGTACGCAGATAGGAATAGAAGAGCAGGGTTGGGAGGTCTTAGGGGATCGGCCGGGTTGATAGGTTTAGGTGGTCCAGGAGGACTAGCAGCGCTGGGAAATAGAGGTCTCAATGGTCAGGGGGCGGATTATGGTAGCTTAGATGAATTTGGTGGCTACAGAGAAGGTGATGGAACGTTTGACACCTTAAGTGGTCTGGACTATCTTGGAAGAAGGCGCCAATTCCATGGACTTTCTGGAGGACAGTATAACGATTTTGACGACGACGATTATGGCTACCCCTCGACGGGGTTTCATGGTAGGAGGTATAGATTCCCATGGTCCAAAGACACATTGGACAGAGAGGAATTAAGCGGCTATGGACCGGAGTATAGAGGATTATTTTGGCCTGAACTAGAATGTAGAGGGCAGTTTCGAAACGGTTATGGACATGGGTTGGGAGGCTCATTCAGAGAAGGATATCGCATAGGATTCGGAAGGGGACTAAAGGTATGCCAAGACTTGGATTCAATGAAGAGTTTGGAGGTGGTAGTGGATTCGGGACAGGATATGGAAGCGAATACGGTAAAGGATATGGGGGAGGACATGGAGCAGGGTCAGGAAGTAGCCTCGAATGGGGGACGGAAGATGAATTAGGAAGCGGATACGGAAGGCAGCTTCGGATGGGGGCAAGTCGTGTGGTTAGGAAACGGATACGAAAATAACTTCGAATGGGGTCCAGAAGAGGGGTTAGGAAACGGATACGGAAGTAGCTTCGAATGGGGGTCAGAAGAGGGATTAGAAAGCGGTTAGGAAAGTAACCTGAGATGGGGGTCAGGAAGGGGTTGGGAAACGAATACTGAGGTTGATTCAGATGGTGGCCAGGAGGGTACGTGTGAATAAACGGATACGGGAGTAGCTTCGGATGGGGTTCAGAAGGGGGGTTAGGAAGCGCATACGGATGAGACTCTGGCTTCGACGCAACCGTGCAATGGCTTACGGTAGCAAAGTAATAAACAGTGCGAAGAAATATAAATCGCCAAGAAAGAAGGAGCAGTGTTCGGTGACGTAGTTTGTATTGACTGTGGTTTAGGCAGAGGTTAAAGATTTAGTTAAGGTGCACTGCTAATACGTAGAATTATTGAATATTTCATATCAAAATAATATTTAATCATGTCCGCTTTCGAAAAAGGCTTGGAATACCTTGTAATAGATGAAATTCGTTATTTTGTAAAGATTTTTGAACCAATAAAATTTCGATTTCACCGGATATAGAAAATAAAATAAAGAACTAAATCAAATTGAATGGCAAATAAATGCACAATTATGTAGCCTCATCAATCAAACACTCTTCCATACACACCTTACGGATCTATATTATTGCAGGACTTCAAAAAAATTTAGTAATATTTCTCTTCAATGTGGTGTTATTACCAGATTCAATGATCTCGGCAAACAGGAAAAGTTGGGGCAGAGACGACATGTGTCTGATGACGGTAGGAAAACATCACCCGTTTAAGTGTGCGTGGTTCTTTATTAAGAATGTTGTTTCAAGTAGAAAATCTGGTAGAAAATCTAGTACGATTTCCAACTAGGCTGATAATAGAGGGTAAGCACGTCTTTTCATTTACGGTTTCAATGTGTGATATATTATGAGATCGAATGGACTTCGTTCGTTTGATGATGCTAACTGTCTTCAAGTTGTTGTTGATGCTTTCATTTTAACTTAAAAAATCGGAACTGTTCATCAAGACATGGTGAATAAACCTGAGACTGGGGCAGAAATGAACATAAAAGTCGAAGGAACAGAAAGGGACAGGACGACGTCTCAAACTCAGCTACCAGGTTTATTTAGTCCTCCTCCTTATGTACACCAACTCATGTTTACAAACAAACAGGAGCGCCCCTACCGGATGCCACCAGCGCCGCGCATGCGCGATGGGGGTGTGAGCAAGAAGCTCGCCGTCGCCCATAAACAAACCATTTAAATGCGATGTTGTCGGCGTCGGTGTGAGTCCCCCTGCCCTTTTCCGCGTTCGAATCGTTGATTCCACGTCTTCCTGGCGATGTCTGACTATCTTGAGCGGCGTCAGCGAAATTACCGAGGCTCGTTATACCGCAAAACTTCGCGTGAATAATGTGACATGTGGCGATTCATTCCGCGGGGACGCCGCAGTATTTACGCTTGATTCGCTTGATTCGCTTGATGAGATTTCGCTCGCAATTTTCAGTCGCGACGCCGCTCGGGCTGCAAAAGCGTGAACCGTAGCTGAGATGGTCGACGTCGATACTGAAAATCGCAAGCAGAATCGGACCAAGTGAATTAGGCATAACAAGTCGGTGATGGTCACTGATAACAATGATCAACATCTTCATGTATCTACTGTGTACATCGAGCCTGCTTATCAACCTTCAAATTTAAGTCTTCGGAGGCCTGCACTTACTTCTTATCGCAAGTACCGGGGCAACATTTGGTCTACGGGCCGGCGTCGTCTAAGAGAGCAGACGACAAACAGAAACGTTTGAAAGAGCAGACGACAGTTCGAACGATCAGTAAGCCGTTTGAACTTAAATACGCACTGAACGCAATCCGCAGGTGGTCCGCATAACTTGACGCTTTTCTCGCGTTCGTGTTGGAACAAAACACATAAATCTGATGACCACAAGTATCCGTGAATTTAACCCAAAGTGCTTCCCACCAAAGCAATCGTTGTCCGACGGCGTCTGCTTTTCCCTTTTCACGGCACATATCCAGATCCTCGGACGAACCGAGCACGTGAAAACTGACCTTCAAACTTTTCTCGACACTTTTGGTACGGCCCCAGTCGCGGCGTTTTGACGAGAAGGCAGGTTTTTGTCTGGTTCCTTTCCAAATAACGCAGGAATACACGTCTGGCATGGGGACTTCTGCCCACAGTTCCAGACCGGAAGTGCGACCGACGCGCCACCACCGTTTCCTGACGCAACAGAGATGAGTTTGTGTATAGACAATTGCAAGCATGGCGCCACAAGTGGTGCCCCATGCGTGCAAGCGCGTGCAACGCGCGGGTGAACGTAGCTTTGGGAAGCACGTAATCGCACGGGCGTGCCTGCTCGAGCAGAGACATGGCGGCGGCCAGTCGCCCAGCTTGCAATCGTCTATACACGAACCAACCCCAAGCAGCACGTTGTGAATGGGCCATCGCTGGCAAGTGTACTATGGCCAACTAGATTTTCGATGGCCCAAGCTTGGCCAAAGTGCTCGGCAATAGCAGTGTTTTCGTCCTCGTCTGGTGACTTGCCATTCACTTTATGCCAGTCGCTGGCCATTCACTTTAGGCCAGTGACTGGCCATTCACTTTAGGCCAGTGACTGGCTATTCACTTTAGGCCAGTGACTGGCCATTCACCTTTGTCCAGTGGCTGGCCATTCACTTTAGGCCAGAGAATGGCCATTCAGCTTTGGCTAGTCACTTTCGGCCAGCCACTGGCCATTCACGTTTGGCCAGCCACTAGCCATTGACTTCCGGCCAGTCACTGGCCAAAAGTGGCTGTAGTTATACACTTAATACATAATTTATCACAGACTGCCAGAAAATTTGGGTGTTGCTCAGAAGACTGTCAAGAGTTTCGGGAGGTCAAGTTTGAGAACTGAACCCCAGAAACTTTTACATAGTAATGACACGCGAAGCTGCTGCAAGTCTGCTCAATATTTATTGGACCTTTTTGAGTACTAAGTCTTACGACGCTGGTTGCAACCACCATTCCAGTCGTCGTGGGTTCAGGGATGGTATGTTGTCCCACCATTAAGATCCCCCGGTAGTGCAGCAGTAAAAAATAAAAAATAAAAAGAAGTAACTTTAGGTGAAGGGATAGTGCAACAATAGAGAGTTTTAGTAGATCGTTCCGATACCTCCGATAGCCCCGATAACGATACTATGCATGCGCAAGGGAGGCGGTGGCGGAGTATCGGGTATCGTTATCGGAGTCATGGGAGCGATCTACTAAAACTCTCTACTCTTCAGTTACAATATTTTTCAGTTTACACAAGCTTACTGGCACTAATGGGAAAGAGAAGCCTTGAGTACACAGTAAAAGTTTTGACACATTTAAGGGTGTAAATCAGTTTGTCCCTGGGCTAACACCCTTATGGCGTTCAGGCAAGCACCCTTCATAAAGGGTGCTTGCTAACACCCTTGGTAAAGGGTGCTTGGCATGAAATGGGCACCTGCTGGGGTGGCCCAGTGGATGCTGGGCCACCCCAGCCAATCTGTCGCCGGGAGAGTATCATGCGACGTTTTGGTTATGTGGAGTAGAAGGTCACATGACGCTCTCCCGACGCTGGATTGGCTGGTAGCGTCCGCCGCGCTCGGACGAAGGGTGAAATGAAGTATAGACCCCAGTGAACATTTCATTGGAATGTGTCCAATACACATAACAGAACTTGTAAATTGTACAAAAATCAGATATGGTATTGCATATTCTTATATTATTATTACATGATTTACAGCTTATCATATTTGCTGAACACATTTACACTTTTTTCACTTAGAGGGATTGCCACATCACCACATACGAGGCATGTGATAAAGAAATAATGAGTCACACTAAACACAACT